GGACAGTTTGTCACTGGACACAGAGTATTCAGGTTTGACCCTTGACCTGTGGCGTCGTCGCCATCTTTCACACTTACAGTAAAAACAGCTGGCCTGTTCTGTGGCGTTTAACATCTGCATTTAGTTCATGATGAAAAGGGTAAAAAGTACAAGTGACACAGAAGTATATTCAGTCCATTCAGGATTTCGCAGACTGTTTTTAGGATGTTTGTGTATTAAAAATTTGAGATGTATGTTGAAATGTTTTAGATGTGTGTGGGGTTTTTTTTAATGAATTTGCAGGAGCAAGTTAACAGTTTACAAAATAGTCAGGAAACTACTTTGGTCAAATTTATGGAAAAGTTGCAGTGAACTCATGGGGATTGGTTGAATTTGTGTTAATTGTTGCAGTCCAGCATATTCTCGTACAATAGTTTGAATGATATTTTATGCATTAGCGCCCCACGAATTAGCCCCCCTATCGGTTAAGTTAGGTTTAAGAAAATGACCATGGTTGGGTGTCATCATACTACTTACTTAGTTAACATAAAGATACGTAGGTTTGGTTTCGGAAACTCAAGTTACGTAGGTTAGTTTAGAACAAGTTATGTAGGTTAGTTTAGGAAAGTAAATTAACTGCTGGCTAATGTTGGAAAATTAAAGTTACATAGGCTAGGTTTAAAAAAATATATATATATAATTGAGTGTTGTCATGTTATGTACTTATTGTAAAGTAAGTAGGTTAGATTTGGGACAGTAATGTTACGTACTTCAGGTTTGGGAAAATAAAGTTACGTAGGTAAGGTGTAGGAAAGTAAAGTTATGTACTTTAGGTTTGGGAAAGTAAAGTTACGTAGGCTAGATTTAAGAAAAGAAATACAATTGATTGTACTTAATGTAAAGTTAAATAAGTTTAGACAAGTAACTCTAACTCTAGGTTAGCGTTAGGAAAGTAAAGTTATGTAGGCTAGGTTTAAGAAAAAGAAATATAGTTGAGTGTTGGCACGTTATGTTCTTGAAGTTACGTGGGTTAGATTGAGACAAGTGAAGGTATGTAGGTCAGCGTAGTGCAAGTAAAGTTGCATAGGTTAGCTTAAGACAACAAGAGTTGCGTAGGTTTTGTTTCCACAAGTTAGGTTATGTGTGTTATCTTAAGACAAGTTAAGTTACGTACATTAGTTAAAGACAAGTAAAGTTGGGTTTATACAAGTATAGTTATGTATGTTAGCAAGGCTGTAGCCATCGAGTCAACATTGGGGGGGACCAGGGGTAGAGTTGCCACCCGTCCCGTTTTTCCCAGAATTGTTCTCTTTTTTCATCAGCTGTCCCGGGGGAAAAAAATCTCTCCCGGGACACAATTTGTCCCGTTTTTTGGGGAAAATGCAGCAGCAGCAGGCCAAGGAGTCCATCCAGAACGACGCATAGTGCGTCCAAATTCACACCTGTTCTTCTCTATGGTTTTTCTCCGCGACCATGCGTCGTAGCTTTCCGAATGTTTTCACAGCGAAAAAAATGATAAAGTTACACTAAAATGATGTATGACAAAGCTTTCATACAGCTCTGCACACACATTACTCTTGGATGGATTACTCGGGAACGCAGGCTCGCACAGAAATGCCACAATATCACATGAAAGCGCAGGAGCAGAGCTTTCCAATGATACCACACACATCATTGTGCTGTCATCCCATCACACTATAAATCCAGATTAATTGTCTACAAAATAAAAACCTGACAAATTTCTTTACAACCCATTATACAGATCTTCTTATCAGTCACTTCATATAGTGAGGAATATAGTATCTTACCACGTCTTAGGCTTGCGTGTGTTTCTCCCTGTCTATCCACATTTGTAGTCCAGCTTTCAAGATGCAAATATCTCCATATTGTCCAGTTGACACTCCATCAAACTTTGTATGACAAGACCAGCCACTTCACCTTTGCGCACCCAGACAACTGCAGCCTAATTATGCATGCTGACAGGGCCGTAGTCACCAAATACATTGAGGGGGACACGTGCCCCCCCCCCTTTTTAACTGCAAACAAAGTGGCAAATATTATCTTGGAGGACATCATTGCACTTGGTTGACTATTTTTCTATGATCTTAGATGTAAATATTGCATGTTTCTTTCAGATTAAAACACATTTTTGACTTGTGAATGAGTCAATGGAATTTCTAGCAATAATGAAAAAATACTGGCAATCATGTCCGTCTGGCACAAACCACATGTTTTGGACAGCTGTGAAGTGACAGAATGTCCCAGCATCATGGTTCTTATATTGCCAGATTCCAGAGAGTCTCCCCTCTTCATATATGGCAGAATATGTCCACTTCCAACTTGCTGTGGTGAGATACATGTAAAAATGTAAGAATTTAGTAACACGGATTTGTTGTTTTCATTGATATAAAAATTAATATAAAATACAGGCACATAGAAGGACATGGAATGATGGCAAATCTGGTCTCCTATGTCCGAATTTCATGTTCATTGGTCAGTCTGAACTGGTAATAATGGCCGAGCCCTCCGCCTCAAACATTTGGTCGAGTGTCCCTTTTTTTCCACAAATCCAAGGTGGCAACCCTAACCAGGGGCGTTGCTAGGAGTTGAAAACTTCCAGGGCTTTAGCACTAAAGTGGGAACAATTTTTACCCGCAGGTTTGGGGGTTTCTACCCCGGGAAAAATTTTGAATAATTCACTGTTAAACGTGATTTTAACATATATTGACGAAGAATTTTGACAAAGAATGAGCACACGTCTTTTATTATTGGGTTGCCCAAATTGTTGGAAACGACTTTGCAAACACAGTGTGAAACAATGCACTGATCAAGAAGAATATAGTGATGTTGCACATCAAATTAAACCGCAGAACCTGGGCTACAAGGCTGCCGTAGAATAGCAATGAAAAAAATATAGGCATGTCTGAACATTGCCCCCCCCCCCCCCCCTCCCAATGTATATGGTAACTACTTCTCTGTATGTTAGCTTTTACACAAGTAAAGTTAAGAATGTTAGGTTAAGACAAGTTATAGGTTAGCGGAGTTACGTAGGTTTTGTTCATACAAGTTATGTTTCCTCTGTTAGCTTATGACAAGATACGTATTTTAGCTTAAGACAAGTTATGTACATTAGCGTAAGCCAAGTTCCGTACGTCAAAGACAAGTAAAGTAAGGTTTATATATAGTTACACAGGTTAGCTCAAGACAAGTAGAAATACATAGGTTTTGTGCAGACAGGTTATGTTATGTGTGTTCGCTTAAGACAAGTTAAGATGCATACGTTAAGTTATGTACATTAGCTTGTAACAAGTTACGTACGTTAGGTTTACACAAATAGGTGACTTTACGTGTCTTTTTTAATTCATCACAAACAACTTTTTCCAGTGAGAATGAAACAACACTGCTGTGACTAAATGAATAAAACTTTCCATCATGTTTAAACATTTTATTTGAGACTTCTTATTCATGAATTCCTTTCTGTATCACACACGTCACGCAATCAGGCTTTTATACAGAACATCAGGAAATGACACTGCACGGCCTTCAGCAGTTACTAAATATGAAACAGTCCTGTCCCACATGCATCTCTGTGACTCTAAAACTCTGATGATAGATATAATAAATAGATTTTGTTTTCACCCTCCAAATAAGAAAATCATCTGACTGTATGTGACAGCCAATCACTTAAACTAAAATGTGGCCTAAATTATGTGCATCTTACTATATAATGATGAAAACTGTGTGTGTGTGTGTGTGTGTGTGTGTGTGTTCCATGTTTTTCTCCTCACTGACTTGGTCAATCCATGTGAAATTTGGCACAGTGGTAGAAGGTCATGGTTATATTGTTTATTCTTGAATTTTTATTAAAATAAATTACTTATTTTTATGGAACTCCCCATGTGTTTCCTTATTTGTGATGGTCTTAGAGCCGGACCGTAACAGCCCGCATCTGGCCAGGTGGGGGTGGGGAATACGTTGGGGAAACGCTCCATTGAGACAGGAAAAATAGGTTGTGCACCCGGCGTTAAAGTGGTGTTGTGTCAGTACAACAGGTGCCATGAAACAAGTGTAAATCATAACACATCATCAGCTGTGTTTCCGTCCAAAAGTGATTTGAATCATTGGGAAATGTGCATTAAAAGAGTTTTCCTCAGAACCGGAAACAAAACAAGTCTCACATTCTTCTTCTTCTACGTTTTCTGGCGGTTGGCAACCAGCTTGTAAATGCATTACCGCCTTCCCGACCCGGAGTGTGGATATCACCATGGAGAGAGGTGCGCTACGTCAGACTTAATTCTAACATAACTGTTTCCATCCCCTGTTTTGTGAATCAACATTTTTTCGAATCAACCAAAACCCAGCTAAAGCGAGCGTATTTTAGTTTGTGTGAATCAGGAGGTTTTAATTTGAATTTTGGCGTTTCCATCATAATTTTCCGATGCGATACTTCTAGATGCGCATCTAAACAGGCTGATGGAAACATGGCTAGTGAGATGGTATTCAAAGCCTAATTTTTTACTATATACTGGTTCAGCTAAATAATTTGTGCACAGTTTTGTGTGAGAGGAGTTAAAGGCCTGTCCCAAATATAAACCTGCTGAGTTCAGTGATTTAAGCAATAACAGCCCGAGGCTGCTGACTGATATAGTGTGGTAGCTAAAGTAGACATTAGGCTGCCTGTACAGCCTGTCACTACAGTCAAATGAAATAAAAAGACGTCCCCATGAAATAATCCCCCAAATAGCTGTCAGAAATAAAGAAAAAATATTTAAAGGAAATGAAAACACAGACAGAATGAAAACACAGACAGAATGAAAACACAGACAGTACTTACTGACCCTCATGCTGACAAGAAGTCCAGTGTAGTTTTTTTAATCCACAGAGCTCGCTCTGGGGGGCTCTCTCCTTGTTGTGCCCTCCCTCCTCTCAAACCAAAGTGACGCCCCTGCAGCCAGCTGCCTGTTGAATCTTAATTCCAGTGGTGGGTGTGGACTCCACCCAGATCATCATTCCGTGTGAGTCCTTCTGTCCCTGCAGGTCTGTGCAGGACCGTCCCGCGCGACAGGAAGCTCAGTGATCTCCGGCTGTAAACACGAGGAGGCGGTGCAGGAAGTGTGTAGCATGTGTGGGTGCTTCAGTGTCACTTCATGATGGAGTGTGTCGGGATGCCGATGCTGCTGCTCCTGGCTCTCCTCTGCTACCGGACCGTACCGGGGGTTCACCTCCCGGACCCGAACTGGAACTCTTCTTCAGCCGCCGTGAAGCTGGATCTGTCCGCGGTGATCCGCCGGGTGGAGCCGCGCTTTCTGTCCGTCACCATCGATGCGAGCCTGGCTGCAGAGGAGAAGTTCATGTTCCTCTTAGGGTCTGTGTGTCTGTGTGTCTCTGTGTGTCTCACTGTGTCTCACTGTGTCTCTGCATCCAGCCGCTGCATGAATCTTTTCCTGAAACAGATGTTTGAGTGGTTTTAAGCTTCAGATCCAGTTTGTGTTAATGTGACTCTGATCTGTCTCTAACTTCCCTCAAATCCGCTTAAATCCTGTAAAGTCCTCAGACTCATCCCTCTGTGTCACCATCACCTATTATTATCATCATCATCATTAATATTAATATCAGCTCAGGGGAGTAATGCGCTGATTGGATTACAGTTCTTATAAAGAGCTTTCCTCCCAGATTAAAGAAACATTAAACAATGCAAAGCAGCAGATTATCAGTCAGATGAACCATTATCTCCAACTTCAGTCAGAGAACACTGAGGCACATGGACGGGACTTACTGTGACGTAAAGTTAACGTTTAGATTTAAAAAGGAGTTAGTATAGAATTGTTGGTTTTGTTTTTCAGCAGCTAAAGAAACTAATTCAAGTGTTTTTATAAGCGTGAAGTAAAATAAAATGTAATAATAAAATTATTATGTTTTTAATTGTTTTCTGTTAAACTGTAAAGTTTATGTGAGATAAACCAGTGTCGGCCAAAAATCTGGGCCAGTTTATTTTGCCCAATTCTGGGGCGTCATTCATGTCGAGTCTCAGCTGAGCCGGGCAACCAGACGTGGTCGGGACTTAGGGCCCGTCCCAATACCCCCCCTTGGTCCTACCCCTGCATTTGCGCGTTCCCTCGAGGGGTAGTGGTGTCCCAAATCCTTTTTGCGTGTAGGGGTAGGGGGCATAACGAGGGGTAGTGGGTGTGAAACTAGCCCTTCGGAGCGAGGGGTCTCAGATGCTGACTTGCCAGCGAGGGGTAGACGTCGCCATGGCTACCACCGAGCAAGAGACGAGGAAAAAGTTCATACATAGCTAACTTTACCATCGTCAGGTTGCTTGGCGTCTGTCATCTGTCCTGTTCTGCAAAATTGTCGGACTTTTCACATTACGATAACACGCCAGCTAGCATAACTATGCTGCCTCGTAATGTTAGCTGGTTAGCTAGCTAGTAGAAATCCCCTGTCGTCTGTCGTTCATCAAACGAAGCATGATGAATAATGCAAATGCAATCGGTAGGATGAACTCGACCGGAGACTCCATTGTAGATGCCGGTTGGAAATGTAGATGGCTTGCAGCTTCCTGTTTACAATAGTTACGTAAGCGTGAATGTAACCGACACGGTGACGTAGTGAGTGGTGTCCCAGTTCCTAGGGAAAGATTTCAACCCCTACCCCTCATTGCTTCATTTCGAGGGCCAAGGGGTAGTGGACAAGGGGGGTATTGGGATTGGGCCTTAATTCTTACGGCGTGCTGAGTTTGGGCCGATGCTTGGCCAGGTCATTTTTGTCTTCAGCTCAGTGATGGCATTGGCAGCTGCTGGAATTATGCCCAAAACAACTGGCACGATTCCGGGGCATCATTCATGCCAAGTCTCAGCCGAGTCTGGCAACCGGATGCGGCCCGGTTTATTTCTTCTGGTATGCTGAGTTTGGGCCAGATCATTATTGACAACAGTCCAGTGATGGCAGTGTTGGCAGCTGGAATTAGGCCAGTTTGTTTTGCCCGATTCTGGGACGTCATTTAAGTTGAGTCTCAGCTGAGTTGGGCAACAGGAAGCAGCCCCGTTTATTGCTTGTGACGTGCCGAGTTCAGGCCAATGCTGGACCAGGTTGTTTTTGTCAATGGCCCAGTGATGGCAGTAGGGATGTCCCGATCACATTGTTTTTGCATCCGATCTGATACCGAGTCCTTTATTTTGAAACCAAGTCCGATACTGAGTCTGATTCGATACTTTGCAAAGAAAGACAAAAAAAAAGAATGCATCCAAGTTGTCCCATAAGGTTTGTTTTTTATTTAAATAGTATCCAAAAAGCTTATCAGTGGTTCAGCAGCACAAAATGTAAACAATTCAATTTCTTCTTGTCTTCAGCAAACAGGCCTATGTCTTTATACATCAGAAAGCGGAGGCAACAATGAACAACACAGATGAAAAACCTGGCCATTTTTGTTGTCTTGATTCCTCCGATCTTTTATTACCGATTCCGATTTTGTAAAAATAACATGATCGGTGCCGATACCCGATCCAAGGATCATCTTTCCACTGTGCCAACGATCACCAGCTCTGGTTTGGTTTAAATTAACCCTTAATTAATAGATGTGACAACAAGCTGCCTCTATGCACAGTAACATGACTGTTTATTTAAATGCAGTCTGGTGGGTTTGGTGACGGTGATTTCAGGGCTGTTTCAGGTTAAACAAAAAGGATCTGACTCTTTAACACAAAGCTCTATCTCTGTAGGGATCCTTTCATCATGTTGTCAGACACTTAGAATAACAGTCTGAGCCTGTCAGTGACAAAAACAAACACTGATATGACAGTGAACGTTAGTGGTGCGGTGATTTGTTTGCCATGTAGGCATGCGAGAAAAACAAAGTTTGGAGTAACTGTAATTGATTGATATTCAAATGGTCATTTTGTGGCTGAAGCATTCTTTTAAGGTTTTCTCACATAAAAAATAATGTTGTTTTTTTTTTATTCTCCAGCTCTCCGAAGGTCAGGACGTTGGCAAAAGCATTAACTCCAGCTTTTCTGAGATTTGGGGGGACCAGACAAGACTTCATGGTGTTCACTCCTCAGAGGTTACATCAGGACTCAGCTTTCACTGCAGGTAACGACACATTGGGGTACTGATTTTAAAACATGGAGTTGGATATGATAATGATAGAGGAAGTTTCATTTCTTTTCTCCCACACAGGAGTTTCAGTATCTTTTTAATTTTACATGCTCCTGTTTGGCAACATTTTAATGAAACACAGTATATCCTGTTATTCTATGCAGATGATACACAGCTTTATGCTTCTGTTTCCTCTTGTCGTTTGTGGTCATTAGAGCAACCCTGTGATAAACTGGAGCTGCCCTCGTGGCTGGAGGAGAGGCTGAAGAAGGAGTGGACTCAACAACAAGTGGTCCTGATGAAAGAAGATCTGCAGAGGAAGTTTAGAAGATTGAAGTTCACAGGTACAAATTTACCTGCTTTATCAGCTCAATTGTCTTTTAATTGTTCGAACATCTTTACTAGGAATAAACCCCTGAGACGCACCATCTCATTTTCAAGGGGGTTCTCATCAAAAATATTACAGTATAAGCACAATTAGACAAAACATTTAATAAGAAATATTTTAAATGGACATGAGTTTCTGTATGTCAGACTTTCATAATCTGTTGGAGCAAAAACATGTATAGGGATTCCACAAGGCTCAATGCTCGGACCGCTGCTTTTTAATTTCTGTGCTCCTGTTTGGCAACATTAAAAGGCAACATAATATATACTCTTACGTTACACTGCTGTACATTTCTCTTTCCTCTTTTGGTGTCAGGCTCATAAACAAGCCAGTTAACTGTATTAACATTATTAACTCTGCCCAGGAGGACGTTATTTTGCTCAGTTTGTTTGTTGAGTTTGTTTCCTCCTGTCACAGAGTACACTGTCGACCTGCTGCACGCCTTCACCAGCTGCTCGGGGATGGATCTGATCTTTGGGCTGAACGCTCTGCTCAGAACATCTGACAACACCTGGAACAGCAGCAACGCCCGCTCGCTGCTGCAGTACTGTGAATCCAGACAGTACAGGATGTCCTGGGAGCTGGGCAACGGTACGCTAACAGACTGAGGCCGACAATATGTAGGTTTTATATAAGTTAATGAAGTTTTTATTTTTGTATCAGGCATATGATTCTACCCACAAGACAAAGCACCATAAAGTCTAATAAGCCGTATGTTTTATTTCAATGTTTATCAAGACATCGTTCCTTTTTCTGCCGGGTTAAACCCAAAAGTGGTTGTTTCATTACTGAGACATGATTTGTCCTGCTGGGACAGTGGCACCAGAAGTAGTTGTTTTGTCGAGACATTGCTGCTTTTTGAGACATTACTCGTTACCTCCTTTTCCTGCTGGATAGTGGTGCGAAAAGCATTTATTTGTTGTTTGTTTTGTTTTTTACTGAGACAATGCTGCAGTTCTGCCAAAATGTATTCATTCTTTTTTTTTTTTAACCAAGGCATGGCTGCATTTCCTGTCGGGCTAATGGCACAAATGTTTTTATTATTATTATTATTTTTATTTTATTTTAGTTTTTTTTTTTTACCGAGACATGGCTGCATTTCCTGCCCGGATATTGGCTTTTTTTTTAAACTGAGAGATGGCTGTGTTTACTACTTGGATAATGGCATGTTGTTGTTTTTTTTTTTTTTTAAATTGAGACATCGCTTCTTCTCCTGCCAGATTAGTGGTGCATCACTGCGTTGCTGCCAGGATAGAACAACAAAAAGTGGTTGTGTTTTTACGGAGACATCGCTGTTTTTCCTGCTGGGATTGTGCCCCAAACTGGGTATTTTAAGCCAAAACATGATCTTCTCCCAACGATAGCCAAGGTTATTTTTGTGCCTAAACCCAACTACATGTTAACCACAGCGTTTATGAAACATAAAGTTTCAACGTATCTGCTACGTAATCACGAACAAATTTGAAGTATCTGTGGTTTGCAGAAACGTACAGAGCCAACATTAATTCTGGCAATTGTGTCAACACAGTGCAGCACCGCGCAGAACAGAATCCAGAGATCAGTCACAGAAACATTTATGAAGTACTAAAGTAAAAATTGCTCAACAATCAATCACACCTCATTTTCCAGGCTTTTGAGACAAAGTAAGTAAACTTAAACAGCAAAATAAATTTTAGTTTTTACTTTTCTGAGCTCCAGAAGATGTAGAGATTTAGTCCGGCCGTTTCATAGAACATTAGCTCTCCTAAATCATCATCGTTTGTACAGTAGAAAAGAAAATGCTACTCACTGTCGACCTCACACAAATCACTTTCTGTGGACTGTGAACAACTGAGCTGAATGATCAGTTCTTACAGGAAATCAGCTGTTGAATGTTTGATAATTGTCATTTTTAAAGCAGAAATGTCAAAGTCTTGTTATAGTGTCTCCACTGTGACGATGTGCAGCTTGTCTTTATATCTGATGGATGTTCGGGGGGGCAGTTTGTTGTGAGGTTTATGAACTTCTTTCTTCTGCTTTCTGTTCATAACGGCAGTGAAGTTTCAGTCATACTGAAACTCTGCGGTCTCTTATCTGAGGTTTGACTTCCACTTATTGTTTTCATGTGGTTTGAGACCTTTTATCACCTGACTGTGCATACAGGAAGTGATGTCATGCCCTTTAATCTGCCTGGGAAACGGTTGCTGTTTTATTTGAAACAAACGGAGGTGGTTTTTGAAACAGTCAAAGTGAAACTGAAGTTGAAGTCGTCTTTTGTCTTCAGAGCCAAACAGCTATGAGAAGAAGGCCGGGATCAGAGTGGATGGATTTCAGCTGGGACAGGATTTCACTCGCCTCAGAGAGATGATGTCAGAGTCCAAATTTTACCAGGACGCCAGACTGTTTGGCCCGGACGTCGGTCAGCCTCGAGATCACCGGACGGACATACTGGAGGGGTGAGAGGTCACAGCATCACACTGTCAGCACGACTTCTGTCAGTCGTACTTTAATAAATGTTTCCTTATTATAATAGAACACCACATTCACTTCAATTACAGACATTGAAATAAAAATGAAAAAAAAATAATAATAATAAATTTGAAACACACCCAACAAAAATTCTTGAATTAATTTTTAAAATTGGAAAAACTGTGGAATTAAAAACTTTACGGATCTTTATATCGACGATACACAGTATTTTACTTAAGTCAAAAATTTGTTGAGAATAACTCTATTACCATACTTTCATGTAGGAACTATTTTCTTTCTACTGAACTACACCCACCAACCGTATTACTGCGCAGAAGAAGTGTGCATCTACCGCTAGCTCACCTGGCACCACACCAGCGATAGCTGTGGCCGGAGGCATCATGTTTTCAGGTTGTCCATTTGTTGGTCTTGTTCTCAAAAATGCGATATCTCAAGAACGCATTTAGAGATTTATTTTCAAATTTGGCACAAACGTTCACCTGGACTCAACAATGAGTTCACAGGTGTGTGAAGCATCCATGTTTTCACTGACATCTGTTAAACTGAACTTGTGTCTGATTTTGTTTCATAATTAAATCACACAGTCACCTGTGAGCTGTTTAATGTGACGGGCGTGATGCTGTTTGTTGTGTGTGCTGTGAGTAAAGACTGATTCACTCCTTCATGTGTTGCAGGTTCCTGCAGAGCGGAGCCGAGGCGGTGGACGCCTGCACCTGGCACCAGTGAGTTCAGCTTCACTTAAATAACCTCAGACCGAACATATGTACAGACTGACTGGACCTTTGTACCTGTGACTCAGTGCGTACACTTCAGTGTGTTACTCATAAAGTACACATCCCTACGCACCACAGCAGAGACGCTATGTACTTCCACTCCTGGTAAATTGTTTCCTATATGTTTGTTGAAGAGAGATGATAAATATGGGCGTGGTGAGGGCGGAGTCAGCGAGGGAGTCAGAACAATCCTCTCCTTCAGCCTGTAAAAGCTGGGAAAGTTTTTGAGCTCACATAAGCTGTTACATCTACTATATATGATTTATTTTACTAACCATTATATCACTACCCTACAGCCGTGATGTGTGCCAGTGGCTACACAATCTATCACTGCTGCAACAGCCCTGAAATCACCATCGCCAAACCCACCAGACTCCATTTAGATAAACACTAACTTAATGTGCTAGGAACGCTACTGGTATTCCCCCTCGGCTTTAAAAGGATGAGACGTTTTGTGGTCATTCCCGTAACTACAGACTGACTGTATAATGTGAAGTGAACAAAGTGAAAAACAGAAGTAATTTTATTATCCCTAAGTTCAGGCTCCAGATTTAAGATTTGATCAGAAGCTTTAACTGAGACCTTTATGTGATGTTTTTCATGTTTCTGCTTTTATATCTAAAGAATGGAAAAATAGGCTGTTTGTATTTATGGGAGGTTGGTTTATGCTGTCACATGCTGTTGGGTTTATACATGAGCCATTCATTCAGTCATTCGTTCATTCATTCATTCACCCTCTCCTGTCTCGTAGTTATTATGTGAACGGCAGAGACACGTCTCAAGAGGACTTCTTGGATCCAGAAGTTCTGGACTCTCTGGCGTTAAAGATCAGTGAAGTGCTGAAGGTGATAACGTGCAGCAGAGGTGATCAGACTGCTCTGTATCTGACGTCCAGATGTTAATATGAATCTGTGTTTTCTCTCTTGGTTCAGAAAGTGAAGCGTCTGTCTCCGGGGAAACCAGTGTGGCTCGGAGAGACAAGCTCGGCGTACGGAGGAGGAGCCCCAGGACTGTCGGACACGTTTGTCGCAGGATTCATGTGAGTTGATACAAGCCAAAGGCCGTCGAGTCAAAGAGACCGCAAAGACACAAACGTTACCCACCCCATTTATCAGTTATCAGTTTATACAGAATAAATCATTTAATCATTTAAGTCACTTTTTTGGCAAAAAAAAACAATCACTGGCTCTGAGGTCAACATATTTGCTGTTTTCTTTAGTTCTGCCTCACGCTGGTGAGTTTGTTTGTCCGTCCCATTGTCATGAACGCAATATCTCAGGCTCAGGTGAAGTTTTAGAGTCCTCACATCACTTGCAGAGATCCAAGGGGAGAGGAGGTAGCAACACAACTCCACCTAATGGAGGCTGACGGCGCCCCAGATTCAAACGTCCAAAAACACATAATTGAAACCACAAAATATCTCCATACTGCTCGTCCGTAGTGATCCAAGTGTCCTGAAGCCCCGACATAAAAAGTTGTTTGGAAAAACCTCATTTGAACTCTGTTTTTAGCCTCATTGTAGCCTGTAGCTCTGACTGCCTCTCTGGGCACCGCGCTCACGTGTGTGCGCTTGCATGAGACCGTGACATGGACACCGCCTTCATGTGTGTTCACATGCTTTCGCTGGTCTCGCGCGAATTTCTTCAGATTAAGCACATCCACTTGGACTCAACATCAAAATGATTAGACTTCGGTGGTCAAAGGTCAAGGTCACTGTGACCTTATGTGCGTTTCATTCTCGTGAACGCCATATCTCAAGAATGCAGTTAGGGAATTCCTTCAAATTTGGCACAAATGTCCACTTGGACTCAACAATGAACTGATTAGACTTTGATGGTCAAAGGTCAAGATCATTGCAACCTTACATCTGTCTAATTCTCATGAATGCAATATGTCAATGCCTCAAATTTGGCACAAACGTCCACTTGGACTCAGCATTGAAATTATTAGAATTCAGTGGTTTAAGGTCACTGTGACGTTGTGTCCCTGGTATTCTCATGAACGTAATATCTCAATCCCTCAAATTTGGCACAAAGGTTCCCGTGGACTCAGCAATGAACTGATTAGTTTTTCATGGTCAAATTTCAAGGTCACTATGAACGTCATCCCCTTTATTCTTGTGAAAGCAGTATCTCAAGAACGCCTTAAAGGAACTCCTTTAAATTTGGCACAAACATCCACTTGGAGTCAACACTGAAATGATTCGACTTAGAAAGTCAAAGGTCACGGTCACTGTGACCTTGCGTTCGTCTCATTCTCGTGAGCGTAATATCTTAATACCTCAAATTTGGCACAAATGTCCACTTGGACTCAACAGCCAACTGATCAGATTTTGGTGGTCATAGGTCAAGGTCACTATGACCTTTTTTGTCTGTCTTACTCTTGTGAATGTAATATGTCAATCCCTCAAATATATGGCTCACACATCCACTTTGAGTTGAGGATGAACTGAATTTGGTGACATGAATATAAACTGCAGCTTGGCTGGTCCGCAGAGACACAACCACGAGGCAGTAATTCTAGCTTTTTAGTCTTCAGTGATAAGTAATTAAATCATCTAAACACTTACAGTATACCACACTGTAATGTACTTCACCCTGCAGCTGTGAGATTATTATTTATATTAACTCTGTAATAAACTGAGGGGAGAACATGCCCGTGAACAGTCATGTAGAGCGAGTGCAGAAACATGAGCATAAGAGCTGGATTGTGTTTAACAGGAGGGTCGTGTCTCTCAGGAGTACAACATGTTAGTTTATTGAGTTAACTGATTACCCAGCAGCCCCGGTCTCATGACAAACCTTAAAACTGCTCACTAACAACAAGACACGTGTGTTCAAAGTAGTGAAGGAGAAGATCTTTAATGGTCCTCAAAATGACTCATAAGTCTGGACCCAGGTAAGAATACTACTGGACCAATCAGCCTAATGTTTTGTGTGCAGGTCTGACTGAAGGACCTCTCGTGGTTGTGGTGATTTCTATTTGTTGTAAAACCCGTTGTACTGATTGTTTTATACCGTCCTCAACTGTTGACTCATCATTCCACTCAACTGACCGGTAGCTTTTATGGAAGTAGTTGTGACTACAAACAACAAGCCTTGCCGTCTGTTGCAGGAGACAGTTTTTCCTTCATCATGGCTCAAAAACTGACATCAGTAGAAAAGTTTGGCCTCATGTTGAACCGGAGCGTCCTCAAATTAATTCCATACCTGATAATAATGCCAAAACATGAGCTAATAATGCCAAAACATGTGCTAGTGTTATTAGCATGTTTATGCGGTATTAGCACATTATGGTCTTACTAGCACGTTTAGCATTATTAGCAAGTTTTGGCATTACAGTACATGTCTTGGCATAATTAGCACATTTATACGTTATTAGCACATGGGTTGGCATTATAAGCACATTTTGGCATTGTTAGCGCATGTTTTGGTGTTACCAGCACATTTATTACCACTGCACAATTCAGGATAATTAGTACGTTTTGGCTTTATTAGCATAGGTTTTAGCATTGTTAGCAGGTTTCGGCATTATTAGCACATTTATGCGTTATTAGCATATGTTTCAGTGTTATCAGCACGTTTTGGCGTTATTACTATAAAAAGTTTTAGCATTATTAGTACATTTTAGCGTTATTAGCACATGTTTTGGCATCATTAGCTCGTTTCAGTGTTATTAACCAGTTTCAGTATCATTAGCACGTTTTAATTTCAGTCACGTGTTTCAATCTTGTTAACACATGTTTGAGTGTTGTGTGGATGTGCTGTCTATAGGTGGCTGGATAAACTGGGCCTTGCAGCCAGACTGGGGCTGGATGTTGTGATGCGGCAGGTGCTCATTGGTTCTGGGAGTTATCACCTGATAAACGAGAATCTGGATCCTCTTCCTGTGAGACGTCTTAAATCATTTATTACTGTCTGTATGTCTTCACACTGAGTATGTAGTTTGACACCAGATGTTTTTAATCTAAATAAAGAATTTTGTGTTGAGTCCACGTTCATCAGCTACTTTTGACCACTTCAGTGTCTGTACAGATAGAGATGTAACTCCAACATCTGTCTAATGATGTAATAATTCAGACACTCTTAAATGAACCGAGTCATTTCACTGTCACCTGCATCATTTAGATTTATTTTGTCCACTACATTATTTTTATGCCCCGCGCCAGCAACAGCCATTTCATTCTGTTTTCAGGTTGTCCGTCCATCCATCCTATTCTCATGACAGCCTTGAGGGAATTTCTTCAAATTTGGCACAAACATCCCCGTGGATTAAAAGATGAACTGATTAGATTTTGGTGGTCATGGGACCACTGTGACCCTGCGTCCATCTCATGCTTGTTAACACTGTATCTCAAGAACACCTTGAGGGAATTTCCTCAAATTTGGCAAAAATGTCCACTTGTCTCAACGATGAACTAATTATAATATGGTGGTCAAAGGTCAACGTCACTGTGACCTTGCATCCATCTCTTTCTTATAAACTTGATATCTCAAGAACACCTTGAGGGAATATTTTGGTCAAAGGTCAAGGTCACTGCGACCCTGCATCTGTCTCATTATTGTGAACATGATATCTAAAAAACACCTTGAGGGAATTTCCTCAAATTTAGCAACAACGTCCACTTGACTCAAAGATGAACTGATTATATTTTGCTGTACAAAGGTCACTGTGGCCTTATTTGTCTCATTCTTGTTAACGTGATATGTCAAGAATGCTTTTAGGAAATTTTCTCAAAGTTGGCACAAGTGTCTACTCAAATTAAAGGATGAACTAATTAGTTTGGTGTTAAAAGATCAAGGTCACTGTGACCTTGGATCCATTACATTCTAATAAACATGATATCCCAAGAACACCTTGAGGGATTCTTTTCAAATTTGGCACAAATGTCCACTTGGATTAAAGCATGAACTGATTAGATTTTGGTGGTCAAAGGTCAAGTTTGGCTGCTGTTAGCCTGGTGATATTTCAGATGTTTACAGCTGGTTTCTGCCCCCCCCCCCACAGTGGGCAAAAAGATCTAAATGATGCTGCTTTAAGTCACTAATCTGAACTCTTCATCACTGTGTGACCTCTGACCTCTGATTCCTTCCAGGATTATTGGTTGTCACTTCTCTACAAGAGACTCGTCGGTCCAGAGGTTTTAAAAATTGAATTTTCCAGCTTTTCTCAGAGAAAACGAGTTCGTCTGTATCTGCACTGTGCGAACAAGAAGAGGTACTGCTGCTGTCGTATGTTGCGTTTTTCTGCCTCTGACCTGGTGTAGTGACGGCTGTGTGTCTCTGCAGTTACACAGGCGGAGCGGTCACGCTGATTTCTATGAACCTGAGCAAGAAGCCGGCCAGGATCTCTGTTCCTGCCTCCGTCTCCTCTCGCACAGTGGACGCTTTTGTTCTGCAGTCTGAGCAGCCGGGGGAGGAGGGGCTCTACTCCAGGTGCCTCTCAATACCACCATTTATCGCTTGCTGCCCGAGTCATGTGAAGAGTCACGTTTTATCTCTGACTTTTAATGTGAAAGGATCTCAACACATTCTCAGGCCAGAAAAACACACAACATACAGACTGATGGGAAATGTAGGATCCAGTGTGTCAGGATGTCTCTACCTGAGGGGCGCACAGCTCCACCTTCACCTGCTCCTCCAGCTTTAACCAAAATGGCTGCTTTAAATTTTGGAGCCTTCAAGGTCGCTGCAGGTTTATCTGATCTTTATCTACACAAGATAATCTGTTCACACATTTTGTTATCGTTAAGATAAGAAACATTTTCCTCGCTGCTCTGCTGTAACTTTACAACTTTATTATTCTGATAAGTTCATGATGACCTCACGTAACCTCTGCAGAGCTTCACACAACTCCATCACACCCGGACACACCTGTGAAGGTCCAAAATACTGCAGCATGTTTAATGTATATATCAGAGTAACTACAGCAGAGTAACTACAGCATAAGTATAAAGCGACGGAAAGTGGCTGTACTTGAGTATAGTACAAGTACCTCAAAGTTATAACTGAGTACAATGCTTGAGTAAATGTTGTTAGTTACTCATGTACTGTGTAGCACGTGTAGTATGTAGTACACCTAGTGTGTAGTATATGTAGTACAGTAAACTGTTTGTCGTTTTTCTGCAGGTCAGTAAAGCTGAACGGAGTCGTGTTAAAGATGGTGGACGATAAAACTCTTCCTGACATTAAAGGAACTCGTCTTCCTCCGTCTGAACATCTGCAGCTTCCTCCCTTCTCTCTGGCCTTCTTCATCCTCACTGACGCTCGAGCTGCCGCCTGCGTCTGACCTCAGGTGTGACTCACAGACTGTCACCTGTCAGGTGAACTACACACAAACTGTCACCTGTCAGGTGTGACTCGCAGACTGTCACCTGTCGGACTGTCACCTGTCAGGTGTGACAGTGACAGCTGCTCACTGTAAATGAATCTGGTGCTGTTTCGTTTCTCTCTGACAAAGTTTCTTCACATGATGCTGGAGATTTTTATTGATAATGAAAACTGTGTGCTGTGCAATAAAGTTTAGTCTGATATATAAAAGTGTTGACACAGCTTCTGTCTGAACTCGTCCGTCCACAGAGGCTGAAAAACTACAAAACCTTCATTAAAGAACCATAAAAACTCTCTAAACTCAGATTATAATCCAGAAAGCCTCTCTGTGTCATGAGGGAGTGAACAGAACAATAATCAGTGAGTCAATAATTTCATGACAAGGTTTTCTGTTAATTTTTCGACTTTATTTGAACCCAAACAAAACCAAACATTGATCTTTAATTCTTCAGATTTTATTACTCCTCCTGCTCCTCTCCGTGTGTGATGATGTAACACAGAGACTTGTAGTCCAGGTTTCCTGCAGCGTCGATGTTTGACGACTGAAACATCTGCTTCACCTGTGGCAACACACAAGTTATTAATGTAACTGTGGTTCAAACACAAGTTATTAATGTAACTGTGCTTCACACACAAGTTATTATTGTAACTATGGTTCTGAGATTTTTGGCTCAGTCAGCAGTGGCCTAACTCTTCCACTAGGTGGAGCTGTGGTCCTTCAGGTAGCTCTGTGCATTTTAAACGTGTTTACATTATTTTTACTAGCTTTTCATGGCTGATTCAGCATGTTGAACTGGCGTCAGAACCCTGCGGAGCGTGCAGGTGAGAGAAATCACTGATTGGCCAAGAAACAAGGAAGGCAAAAGACAAAGTCAAGGGGGGTTACATCCAAACAAACTTCTCATATTACGTAAGGTATTCTACAAATTTCTTAAAACTAGTTGATTTAAAACCAGAAACTGTTAGATTGTTTTACTTGCGAGATTTTTTGACTTTAAGAACTCGTTAAGGGAGTGTTATTAACCGTCATTCAGCATGAATTTATTATACTTAAGTAAACTTCGTTATTCTTTACCTCCTCAGATGTAAACCTGTCGGCTTGTGTCATGAGTAGTTTCTGTAATCTGCAGAAAAACAAACAGAAGAATTTAATTTATCTGAACAATAACAGTGATGTTTGTAAATCTGTAAAGACAGAACTCACTCATCTCTGTGGACGAAGCCTCGGTCGTTGGGATCGAACAGTTTGAAAGCGTTTAAAATAGTTTCTTCAGGGTCTGTACCTGCACACACGAACCACAGACACAACAATGAGTTTAAAATGAGACGAAAGTCAACCACATTTTAGCTTAGTATAAGGACAGGTGGAAACTTTAGCCAAATTAAATACAAAATGATAACTAGTATGAAAAAATCATGAGATTTCAGTATCAATATTTAATGTCTAGACACAGCAAAGAATATAAGATTTTTGAAGGGTCTTTACTAACTTTTTCACAATTAAAAAAAGAGCCCTTAAGTGTAAAACTGGTGTAAATGTTTGAGTTTTATGTCTGTACAGTTAGTATCAAGCTACAGGTAGCAGCTGGTTTGCTTAGCTTAGCATAAAGACTGGAAACAGGTGGAAACTTTAGCCGAATTAAATACAAAATGTTAGCAAATATGAATATGTTTAGATGATGGTTCAGTATCAATATGTCATGTGTAATGTGACTTTTATCAGTATAAAACAAAGGAGCCAATAATGGTGAAAACTGCTGTGAATGTTTGTTTTTTTTTAGCATTAGCATTAGCATTGTTAACCATAGCTGTAAATCCACTGTACTAACCAAGCTAGCAGCTAGCAAAAGTGTCTTCACTCTCTCATCCAAATATGGTCACTTCTGGCCCCAAAGATCCAAGATGGCACCCGCCAAAATGCCAAACTTGCCTTTAAATTGGACCCCATAAACGAATGGGTGATATTACGGTAGCTACGTGTATTATTTTAAACAGTGTACAGTCGCTATTTGTTAGCAAAAATAAACACAAATCTCTTCTAGGGGATTCTACACTTCCCACAATGCAGTTGGTCTCAGAGTGAAACTGGTTCTCACCATGCAGCTTTTCTCCAAACAGATTGAGGAACATGGTGAAGTTGATGGGACCAGTTGCTTCTTTCAGCATGTCCTCCAGTTCGTTGTCCTTCACGTTGAGTTTACCTGAAACGGCATGCACACATCATCGACGTCACAAACACGCGATGTCTGGACAATTCAACATTTATTATCTGAGCTACTAACCCAAAGAGGCGTAAGTGTCCTTGAGATCCTCCTTATCGATGAATCCATCCCGGTTCTGGTCGATGAGTGTGAACGCCTGAATTAAGAAGATGAACACATGAAACTATGAGATGAAACCTTTAAATGAGTCTCTGGTGAAGGTGATAATTTTACCTCTTTGAACTCTTGAATCTGAGTTTGTTCAAACATGGAGAAAACGTTGGACGAGGCTCGTTGAGCTCTTTTGGCTCCGCCTTCCTTCTTCTTTGTCTTTCTGCTCGCCTAAAAAAATTATACAGACATTACATTAGTGTAAAATCAAAGACAGAGAGGATTTATTTTACTGCAGGTCTAAGGAAGAGGAGTAAAGCTGAAGGATTTGAGGAACTTTTTCTGATAGTTTTCTGTGAATTAAACTAGTAACTATTAACATCTGGTTTAAAATCTTAAATATTATCTATATCATTAAATATTTAGGACCAAATAAGCAACAATGAAAATTTGTTATTGTTTTTTGTTTAATGCATCTACAGACCTCTAATTTCTGCCTGCAGCAAAAACAGTCTTGAAACACAATAGGTCCACTCTGTAAGAACGTTTTAGTGACCAAGAGCAGCCTGATGGGCAGAAATGAAACAATGAAATATAACCTGCCACTGAAACAAACACATCTCAAGTTTTTATGATCATCTAATGACATTCTTTATGTTTCAACAACACTGCCTTTAGGTTTTGGCAAAAAAAAAATCATGTTTGGGCTTTAAATACACGTTTTTGGGGGGCACAATCTGGCAGGAAACAGTTATGGTATGGATGACAAAGTCATATACAACGCATAACTTTGATTAAGAAGTTATTTAAATAAAAGGCTTCAGTATGTAAAAAAAACACTGAATCACATGTTTGAAGAGTGACGTGTGGTGTTCCACAAGGTTCGGTATTGGGACCTAAGTTATTTACACTTTATTTAAATTATATTTAATTTAATCTGTTGAAATTTGAAACATTTGCTGATAAAACGATTTCTTTTGTTCAGGAGATGACATGAAGGAGTTGCTAAAAACAGGAGAAAGAGAACTGATCATGTTGAAATTAGGGATGGGTCACGATTTTCGATTTTCGAACAGTCGTTTTGTTTTTGAAAAATCGTTTTTTTTAATGCGACTATTACTATTCACCGTCTTATTTCCCCCCCTTTATTTGACATGCAATTCAGCTCCTAACCGCACGAGGGCAGTATAGAATTACTACAGCGGTGGAGATGCTCTTCTACAAACAGGAGAAACATGCAGAGACTACTACTCCATGAGGTATGTCCGCAGTCATTCGGGCTTTCATAGTCGATTATTCGAAAAATTGTCGAATACTTGCCACGATTTTCGAATAGTGTTTTTGCTTGTGTTGCCCATCCCTAGTTGAAATGGTTTGCTGTTAATGAGTTCTCACTAAATGAATGGTGTTCTGTGGTGTTAGGACTGAATGTGAAATACTGAATTTGAATGGTGCTCAAATTGAAAGAGTATATGAAACAACATTTTTGGGAGCGATTATAAATCATGAACTATGTTAGAGTGAAATGATCTAAATCTACTGCTGTTCTTTATAAAACAAGGGAGTAGATGGCGGTCGGTTTGCCCCCAGTTTGGAGAAGCAGACAGGAGTACCGACATAGAAGCTAAGCAATGTACTGCTGCGGGGGCCGCAGCAAAATGTATTTAGCCCCTGTTCCGACCAACATTTCCAGGAACTTTTATTACCAGGAATTTGTTTACCTGGGTAAAAGAATTACTGGTAATCTGTGTGGTTTGCATTTCCACCTTACTTCAAGTTACGGAAAATTTATTTAAATTAGCGTGATGATGTGGCTGATTCGGCGTGTCTCCAGTATTTGGCTCCGCCAGCTTATTGGCTGGTAACATGCTGGTGTAGAGAGTTGGGGCTGTTTGTCTCAGCCAGCAGCTCAGTTTAAAAGTATTTTAAGATAAGTGTCAAACTAAGTTAGTCTACATACAGACAGCTGTCATTTGAGCTTATTAGGAACAATTCACTATGAGCCGAACTAGCGTGCTGTCCTTGTGTAAGACATAACATCAGTGACGGTGGATGAGAGACTGTGGGCGGAGCATAATGAATGATGAATATGAATATCATGAATATCACTGTCTACATGTTTACAAGTATTGGCTTCTTACTCGCTAAGGGTTAATAATTTAGCCCGGGGGCCAATTTAGTACCGGGTTTCGGTACCCATCCTTCATCAAAACACAAATGAAGTGAAGCTTGTAGAAATAAAATAAAGTTTTCAGCGGCTGCCCGTGCCAGGAAGTGCGTAACGCTGCGTGTGTGTTCCACCAATCACAGTCTTCAGCACACAGCCCTGCCCCTCAAGAATTCCGGGTAATCTGAAAAGTCCTACCCCCCCACTAGGTACTTTTTCAGGGTAAATTTGAGGTTGAGGGAAAGTTTTTTATGCAGGTAATTTCGGTGGAAACGCGCTGAGGTTTTTCAAAATTCTGGGTAATCAATAAAAGTTCCTGTGGTGGAAAAGGGGCTTTTGAGACACCTAAAACACTCACTATCAAAATTGTATTAATTTTGACCTTTCCAATGAGGCCACAGAGGAACTTAGATTTTTAAGTGGAAGAAAAACAAACTTGTTGGTCTTTTTTTTTTAACAGTGGAGAGACACAGCGTGGGGTCCCTATAATAAAACCATCTTTGGGCAAACAGCAGTTTCCTTTTCTTTGTCCACAGAATTCACTTTAATAGGTGCAAAATAAATCTTTCACCTCCTTCACCTTTAGTTGATTCTGTAAGTTAAAATTAAACTTGCAGCTCTCTCTTATTGTATCTTTAATATCGCAATAAAACATGAGAAATAAAGGATGTGAGCACCTACCATGTCGGCTGCTGCGTCTCTGATCTGCTGCTGCAGTGAGTCAGGCTGAT